TTGAGAACCGGTTCCAAATACTTCATGATCATATGCCTTTGAGCTCCACCTATCAATGCTGGTGTGGTTTTCTAACATTTCTACATTGCAGAACAATGATGCTAAAGCAGTGGAGCTTTTCGTAATTCCTCCCATTCAACCATTTGTTTATACTATGAAAACTTTAGATAATAACACACTGCGTTGACGATAAAAATCCTGCGCTGACCGACATTTCTCCACAAGGAAAATTGATTAGACGTCAACAAGGAAAATGATAAAGAATCAGGGCAATATGCAGAATTGCTAATGATGAAAATCTTATCAACATCCCTCCCTAGTCACAGTGGAACTGACCTATTGGATATAACTTGTCATGGCGTCATCATTTTATGCTAGTAGGATTTTGTGTGTGTTTTCTAATAATTAAGGTGCTTTGTGAGGTCACAGTGACGTCTGAAATCTAATGAACTTCCTCCAGACAAAGACAATTAACAGACTCCCAATCAAACATCAAACAAATCAAACATTTTCCCCTCTTGTCATGCAAAACACAGCAACACAAATCATTGACAGACTCTACTGAAACGGTTCAATAAAAGACTGATAACAAAAAAGGTTGGTGCATATTAACATCAAGCTGAGGAAGTAACTTTATCTCAATAAAATGGGCAACACACGCAGGTGTATTCACAGCCTTTCACCATGGGGTGAACATGAAGGGCCAGCTCCATGATGACATTATCAGACATCAGGGACAGAGGCAAACACAAAGAGAGTAACTGGAGGGCAACCAGTGGTGATGTAATACCATCCAGGTTATTCATTAACTCCCTGCATAACGTCACCTGCGGCCACAGCCTTGAGTAGGCTGATATGAAGCGAGCAAGGTTCGCACAATGACAGGCACGACTGGTTTGTTTAGACCACAAACAATTACATCACCAGCGCATCTTGTGCCCTTTAGTCTGTGCAGCAGGCCCTCTCATGAACTCAAAGTTTGCATATATATGTGTATGTAAGCTGTCTGTCTGTCTCTCTCTCTCTGGAGTGTTTCACTTACACTTTAAAGGGTGACCACAACAAAGCACTGTGCAGCAGAAGTGGAAAAAAAGACGAACCGATACAGCATAGCATCGTATTATTTTTATCAAGCCACGGACACTAATTCAAGCAACATTACATCATATTTGCTCAACTGAAAAAGGCATTCAAGAATGGACACACTTGGCTTAGCTAATAGCTCAGTTACACTAGTAGTAGTACAAAAGCTGGACAACAACCTTGTATCTGCCAGAAACAAAACAAACCTGTGGTTGCCTTGTGATTGTACTGGATTCTTTTCACATTCTGGGACCAATTGCAACATGCTGCTTTTGTCAATGAACATAACATGAGTGGAGTCGACTCAGCTGGCTGCCAAACAGATGTATTCTGGTTTTATTCATATAGAACAGGAAGGTAGCTAAACACAAATGTGAATTTCTGCTAAATGTGTTTTTTTGTCTGTGTAGACAGTAACAGATTGGTAGCACACTGACGCTGTCTAATAGCAACAATTATGGCAGATTTTAGTGACAGTGTCTGTGCTTTCCTGCTTTATCTTATTGGATTAACTTTGTGGACATAATTTGCAGTGAAATCACAATCTATGCTATTGAAATATTTACCCTTTCAAAATGCCAAAAACTGCAATAATATCAGAATATCAAGTATTCTGATATTATTGTATCATGGGATGTCTGGTGATTGCCACTTCTAATGAGCAGGTACAGGATCACCTGTTTATAGTGGAGAATTTTAGTAGAAGTTCTTGCAATTGTGTTAAAAGGCAAAATATTAGCATATCATTCAAAATCACGACAGAATGAATAAAAGTATTGTCAGTTAAAGATTAATCTCTTGGTTTGTACAAAGGCCCAAAACAGTTAGCATTATAAGCAGTGTTGTTTTGTCTCACAGTCCAAAATCAAAAGATATCTAGTTGACTTTCACCGGTGAGAACCTCCGACTTGATTATGAAAATACTTTATCATTAATTTTCTGTCAGGTAAATAAATTAAAGCATGACTGTTGTGAGTTCAGTGGCATTCACTGCTTTTAGCTATACAATAAACGTAGTAAACAATTAATTTATAGCTGTAATCAATTATTATTGTGGAATTTAAAAAGAAACAGTTATTGGCACACCTTAAATGATCAAATGTTTAACAATGCTTACAATTAATGGTTAATAGTTGATGATTGTCTAACCCTGAGTGTTTACCACGACTAATAACCAGTGTAACATGCTGTTGCAGCGGTCCTGTCATTTTAAAAAATCGATTTCTTGGTGCAGCTGGACAGCGCTATCATATTGTAAACAACACATCCAAGCATGAAGCCTTCCGGCGTCCTCTCATCAATACTCCCTCAGTGCACTGACTGCTGTAAAATGCAGGGTCATACATAGCTGGGACTACCCCCAGACTCCACTACAACAGCCACATGATAGGTAATGTAAATGTAAATAATATCGAGAATCTCTGATACAAAAATACATCGTCAAATAAATATAATGTGTACATATAGAAATGCTCTGAAAAATCAAATCATCAGAGATGGGGGCGCACATACACATACACACACAACACAAAAACAAAAAACAGACAAGACGTTGTGTATCGTTTACCAGCGTTCAAAATGATGGAGGCTGAGCGGTCGCAGCGCACTGCAATAAACCGACCTACATTAGACATAAGAATAGACTCCAGTGCGGACAGCAGGCACTGCTTTTAAAAAACGCCGGATATAGTCAGCATCAACTATTGTTATACCCCACACTTACAGAGAGGTTGTTTTGAGTGGGAAACCTGGCCTGGGTTTGTTATGACGCGTGGATATGTCCGCATGCGAAAATGAGCCCTCTCCATTGATCGGGAAGGCAGTGATGACTTTAACCAGCGCGAACATTAAACAGAAAATTCGGGAAGAAACCTAATACACCTACCTTACAATAGGAAACCGGCACAGCGATTTTTTTGCATCCCAATAAAACGATCGATAACTTGAGCACGGACGAGGTTTATTCCCATTATGAGACGGGCGCGCACTTAAAGAGGGGGGGAGGAGTGCGAGCTGACGGGCTCGCCGCAGCAGCAGCGAGCTGGGCACGAGCACAGACAGCGAGCAGCCGATTCAAACAAACAAATGTCCTTTCTTGCTAATTGACAAACACACTCAAGCACTCACCTCGGGCTCCATGCGTCTGCGGGGTGTTATTCAACTGGCCTCCATGTGTGAGGGGACAGTGGCGGAGTCTTCATGGGGGCTGGCCGGTGTTTACTTGGCGGTGTTGCGGGGTGTACAGTAAAGACCTCAGCTGACAGAGGATGACAGCGCCAGGAGCAAACCAGGCATGAAAGCGCGCGGTGATAGGCTACAAACGGCCTCCTCAGCCGTTCAGCTGGCTCGTGGAGAGCAAGATTAGCTTTACTAGGCTAGGTGAAGGCTAAAACTGTTAGCTGTTATTGTGTGTGTGTGAGGAGGAGGAGGAGGAGGAGGGGGGTGGTTAGGTACGGAAGGTGCACTTTAGCACTTTCATGAACTAAAGCGATGAGGTCATGGTTCAGGAGGGAGACGGGAAAAAAGGAAACTGTGAGGTTGACGTCACTTCCAACCAATCAGCGGCGACGGTTTAGGACTAGGGTGACGTCAGTGATCTGATCTGCGGATTAAAGGGACAGTCCGGCTTTTTTTTCTTTTTTTAAAGGAGACGCACTCACGTTGAGTGTGTGTGTTTTTTAAAACTGCCTTACACACAGAAAAAAACAGGGATAATATGAATCTTTATTTATTTCCTTATTTTATTATATTCAAATAATTATTATGAAATACAAATCACATAACACCTTTTAAATGTCTCATTTTGTTTTATTTGTATGTGCTCCTTTCTGTTTCTGTTTCTCTTTTATGCCTTATTGAGCAATATTGTCTCGTTATGTTGTAGGTGTGTTTCGGCTATTCTGCCTCATTTACGCTATGTTGCTGCAGGTTATCCTTATATGTTTTGGCTTCTGCGAAATAATCATTTCCCCCGTTTTGGGAATAATAACGTGTATTCACTTAGACTACACTGCAGTCTGATCTTAGAATTTAAATGCAAAAAAATTGCAAGTCATTTTCTTAAGCATTAATACAGTTTTGCGGGGAACCACTATATCTTTTTTTTATTTGTAAGTTTTTATTCTATTTTACTTTTCTGAATTTCTTTCGGTTCGTTTCCTGAGGTTAGGCCTACGGTAAAAATGTAGAGCTTTAAAAAAAAAAATACAAAAAATTGAAACTAAATCCGAGAAAAACGATATGAGCATGCAGCTCAGACTCGTGTCTGTGTTACTTCATAACAAGTAAAAGCCAAATTTTGTAAAAGTAGATTTTCTAAAACAGGCTCACCCAGTGTTAGCAGCCCTGGATGGTTGACTATTACTATTATTAATATTTCAAAATCTATTTCGTATTTGCTCTTCGTCATGGACCAAACGATTTAAGCTGAATTGCACTTGCAAACTACTGAGCTGCCCGTTTCTCTTTGTGAAAGATACAGGCTACGCTGAAGTGTCATTTGGATGCCACTGATTTAATTTTGATTATGTTTTTCAAGATAGTGTTTTAAAAATAATGTGCAAGAAACGAAAACTGATCGATCTACAGTATCGCATTCTCACTTAGCCCGGTTTCTGCAATGAATGGATGATTGGTGTTTGAATTCACCGCCAAGTAAATTCACCGAATTCATTGAATTCATCAGCTCTCTATTGTTAGATTAAAGCCTTTGTTTTGTTGCTTTGAACAATCTGTCAGCGAGCAGTTGCCTGCAGGGAGGTTTGGCAATGTGTGTCATTAGATCGCATATACTGACCCCTAGCGGTGAACGTGTGCGATTGCAGCCTGTCAGCATGAAACCAAAGGGGGTGGAAAAAAGACTGATCAGATGATCAGGGCAGAGTAACTCTAAAAAAACAACAACACAAATTCATGAAAATCTATCTTTATTTGGATGCAAAAAGTCACAACTTAAAGCGATACTGTAGCAGAGGAGAGGAATACTGATTGCTGGTTGGTTGTACGTCTGACTGTTTGGCTATTAAGTCATCCCCATTTTGATCTTCAGAAGAAGTCCAAGTAAGCACGGACAACAAACACTCAAAATAGAAGCTTTTCAATCAAGTAGACTGGAGATTATCAGAGGATTATGTCACATGCCTGACAATACACTGTAGCCTTTCTTGTCTGTCTCAACCAGGTGCTGCTGTAAAAGGTCATTTTGGCAGTTATATTCTCCCGGCTGATGTCTTATTTATAAAGCGGTCCGAGCCCACTCTGGTAAGTTCATCCTCTGATAACGTCCGGGGCCACTGATCTGAAGCGTCATGATAGTCAAGATAGAAGTTGTTTGACTTTTTGTAGAAAACTGTCTTCACTGTTTTAGCTGCCTTACACATAGCGATTATTTCTCGTGTTGTCAACTGAGAGTGGCCTCGAGTCACAGATAGAATAGAGTGGGGACTGTGTGAAAACTCAGTCTGAGGTAAAATTCTCCAAGAAAACGATAAAAACGTACACAGAAAGCAAAGCATATTAAAGCAAAGCCTAAAGACCTAAAGTAATAATACTGAAGACTGAACATAATCTATTTATCTTCTGTACTGTAAGGTAACTTAGGTAGTTGTCACATTTTGTTCCGTTAAATCTTGCAATATAAACCGATGGTTTGATCCACAGTATGAGCTACATTCCATCATGGTGTAAACGGAAATATACACAAGGCATCTACTCGAAAGGATTGTATCAAAATGTTCTAAAAATATCTCTGGTTGGTTTCACAAAAGCAAACTGTATCAAAAGCATTGGCCGAGAGCAAGCAATAATAATAGGCTTAAACCCTTTTACACAACAAAAAGCAGGACAACCAATCACGTCGCTTTGATTGTGGACCTATGGAGTCCCATACAGCACATGCAATCCATTAAACTCAACACAATCAAAACACAATACAGAAAAAAGAACTTTTACAGCTGAACATCGGAGAGACAACCTTTGTTGGTCTATTGTGCTTCATACAGATTAGGCCTGGCCTGTCTATACAACAATCATGGGCTTCTTACTTCACAGATGTGTTCAAGCTACTGTTTAAAGCAGAGGCATTGCAGAACTTGAAACTCTGAGGGCAACAAGCTTCATGATAGAAAATTGGACATTTACAAGAATATCCTTATGTTTATGGTGTATTGTTTATGCAACTTTTTTTTTTTTTTTGCTTTCCTCTTCATTACATCCTCCCGTGTTTGTCACTGGAAACGTCGATTGTGCACAATGGATTCTCCGGAGCTCCTGCATTGATTTTTCTAATGGTGTGTTTCTATTTCTGGCCTCTGTCCCCTCAGTATCCCTGGCTCTGTGACGCCTCTGAGTTAACGTCTATGTGGCCTTAATGCAGAAGTTGTTTACTGTAAACATCATGGGCCATGAGGACTGCACAGGCAGCATGGTAAAACTGTAATACTGTAGATTGCACAGAAATCCTAATTAGTTAGTTAATAACCTAATCGTTATACATTCCTATGTTCCATAACATTGCACATGCCTTTAATGAACACTTAGCACCATGCAACCTGAAGATGAGGTGACTCTTGAATGCAGCAAAAGTTGAGACAGGCCTTCTGTAATGATTTTTTTTTTTTTTTTTTTTTACATTGAAATTGAGAGAAAAGGCTAGACGTCATTTACTTTTACATTTCATATGAACTTTTATATCAGTATAGTTAAATATTAGGCTGGCATTTGATTATCTCTGTAGATTTAAACGATGCTGGCACTTATACTGTAAAGGGCCCTTATTGTCAACACATACTTTCTTTCATTTCCTTACAGGTAAGTCACACCACTGCAGGCCATCTGATTATACTTCACTTCCAGTCTAACCTTTCGATAACTGTACAATCATTACACGAGGAAGCTGTTTTAGACCAAGTGCAAAACAAGGCCTCGATGACGGAGACTAATGTGCAGTGGTGTGATGGAAACCTTAGCAGTGCAAATGAAATGAAGGCGAGAGTGCTGGCTTGGATTATTTTAGGTGTGACTGCTTCAACTTATCAAGAACATGTGGATCGATGGGACTGCGTTACTACTATTTTCAGGTGAGTTATCTCAAATCACACCTCCTCTATATTTGTTCTACTCAACCACGCACAATTAGCACAGATTCAGTTCTGTTTGAGTGACCCTGCCTTGAGTGAAGAGAATAACATGGTTTGAACTTGTTAAAGGGTGAGATTGAGATGATGTTAGGTACAGTGGTGCATACCACCTGAGGCGGTTACGTGTACAGTGGTGTGTCTCGGTCTGGGTGTGGCTGTTGTGCTCCATCTACTCCTCAGCAGTTTGAGAAAGCTGCTTCTCATACAAGCTCAGGACGTGATGCACAAACTGGTACTGCTCACACGTCTGTATCATGCCACCCCTGAAAAACACACACACAAAGAGATACCATTAAATCTAACACTTCACATAGTAATTATATAACAAAATTAAATGGAAAAATTTCGTTTAAAGTCAACATTTGTTTATTAGCTCCAGGAAAAAATAAAATGTTTATCACATTTTTTCAAACAATGAATGAAATACATTAGCCATGACATCTTGACTTATTAAACTCAGATGTATCCAATAACACTAATAATGACTGCTTTCATTGTGGGTGTTCTAATGTGCTTGATGGCCGGCTGGGATTGTACCTCACATAAATAATATTACTAGTAGCACCCATGCTTGTTGTTTTCTGACTCAAAAGTGAGTAAAGGTAATCATTTCCTTTAACACTCACAGAACCATGCATGGTTTTTTGAAGTGTGTAATTAATGGACTATAATTTTAAGATCCCTGACCCGGTCCTGAATTGGATAACCACAAGAGGGATGGAGGGACAGATAATTTAGAAGAAGGTTTGGTGACCTTCTTTTTGGAACTAAATCAATCTACGTCAGCTGAGCTTTTATGCCAGAACTAAAGATAGGCACGAGCACAGATAAGAGCTCTAAGCATATCTCACCTGTCCAGACGGAGCTGGCAGGTGGTTCTCAGGATGTCAACTACACCCTCAGTCCTCAGCTGCTTGCACAGGATGGAGGTGGCAATGAAGCAGCCAGTTCGACCAATTCCAGCACTGTAAAGAAAAAGTTGGAGAAGTAATGTGTTGGATTTTTGTATTCACCATAAATCGAGGAACTGAAAATAAGGGAATACATATACTGAAGTGGATTTTGATTTGTACAGTGAGAAAAACCAGCAAAACAAGATACTGTAATATAAAACTAAAGATGGCTTTATCTTCTAAATATGAAATCTTTCATGCTCCCAATACTACAAACAAGTTGCTTTAGCCCTGTACCTGCAGTGGACAATTATAGGGCCACTGGAGGGCAGGGCTTCCTCACGGGCCCTTTCCACTTCCTGCACCAGCTCCAGCAGGGGTGGAGCCTTGTCTGGGGTCTTCTGATCAGGCCAGGAAGTGTACCAGTACTGCCGCAGAGTGCGCTCCTCTTCCCCGCACTGGTGCATGCACACAGACAGTGACACAGATGTCATTATACCAAGCACACAGAGAACACCTGTTGCTCTTCATGCTTGACCAAACAGTTGCCTTGGTTTAGTAGTGAGCGCAGAACAAACATTAAAAAAAGAGATTGTACAAAAGCAGACTATTTGTCCTGGTCTGTACTGAGCATAAACAAATTTCCGAATGTCAGTCTACCAATAATTATGAATCCTATAGATAAACAACATAACATGAGGAGATGAATAATCAACAAGCTTTTAACTCATTGCAGTTACATAATGATCCCCTGGTGCTTAGCAATCGGATGCAGGCTGCATTTACTGAATTATCTTGTTTTGTTTGCTAAGTGCCGATGCCACCATGACCTCAAATTAAAAATAAAGCACCCATCATGAACACATGAATGGAGCGTTGAGCGAACCACCTTCCAACACCCATATCTGTTGTGATAAATTACTGGATAAAATATGACTGTTTGATACACATAATTTTAGAAACATGTTTTTGTTGAGTCGGGAACACAAAATAATAATCTTCTGCAGTGTTTTTGTGACATTAATCGAGGGATCATCATGTAAACAGTGCATATTGTAGCCATGCAGATAGTTCTGATCCACATCTAACATCTGAATTTAAATTGGCACCTAAGGGATGAAATTTAATTTAAGTGCCTTAGATTGAAAGAATAAAAACAAAAATGTAACATATCTTTAGAGAAATTTCCACTTTGAATATAACATAAAGCACACTTTTAAAATTTTTTAGGGTGTTACGTGGAAAGACGTCTGCTAACACAGATGACATATAAAGTAAAGGTGGGTAATCCTTTGGAATTAGCCACGTGCAGGATTGTCAACTTTGCCACGGCTTATCGCCTTTGGGCCAAGAGAGAGGAAAATGAATTCTAAAGTTTATCAAGGCATCATTCAGGACAATGATACAGAGGCTTTCTGATGTTACCTGCTCATGAAAGCCTTTACTGCTTTAAGCACATTAGCATACAGATGACAGGGTTTAACTTGCACACTTCTGTTCCTAATTACATGTTAAGAACCTGGCTGTGAACCCTTAGTTTTGTTTTAATTCATATATTTGACAGTATGAGCACCAGAAGAAAAATTAAAATAACTTGTAACTAGTTCTATATTTTTGTTTCGTTCACTTATTTCTTTGTGCATCCCTCTCAGTATGTATTCTGTCATCCCTTTAGGTCAACTTTCTTCTGATTTGCTGCCTCTTACAAACAGAACATGTGAACAGCAGATGGGTGGGGCTTATGTGCTCACAGCCAGACCTGTGCCTGAGACCGTATTAGGGATATCCACTCCATTTGACATCTGTCTCGAGCAGACTATTTGGAGCAGACCTGAGCTTTTGGCTCACCGGGATTAGTTTTACATATGTTGACCTAAATGAAACTTTGGCCACGCTTAACATGAGCATCCACCACTGTAACCCCATCCCCCCACCCATCCACCTCTGTATAAGGTTGTTTCCATTTTCATGTATGCATATCATTAGAGGCAAACAGCTTTGGCATTACTTGAAGCTAAAACATTAAAGTGGTGTTGTTGTGGTTCACCCTTTGTATTTCACATATTAATGCATTCTCTGTCGGTTACCTTCAGAGTAAACACCCTCAGACTGTAGTCATCCTCCTGGGTCACCTTGACCACAGTGATTTCGATGCCTTCGTGTGTCACAGTGTCCTCGGGCCAGTACTCAGCACATTTCTACAAGAAACAATAGACACAGCAGATAATATAGCTGGTTAATATTTAGGAATATTTATCAAAGAATCCTTTGAATAGTTACCTCATTCTTCTCCTCCAGGTTGGTGATCATCACTATGATTGGGGTCCTCTCTTGCCACACCATCCTCCATAAATCCCCCACTGTGTTCACAGTGGGACCCTGGGTAGCAATGTATGCACGCTCCTCGCCCCCATAACCCTGCACATGCACACACTCGTTGTTTTGCTACCATTACATATCAAAGCCATAACAAATCGCTGCATCAGAGTGCATTTGAACTTACTTTGAGATAATTAGCGTTGATATAGGTAAAAAGAAAATCATCTTCATCCTGTGACTTCAAGATCACTCTGCTGTGCGTGTCTGCAGGTGGACAATGTGACATTATCATGAGAAAGGGAGCTGGTTACACATTCATTCATTCTGTATCTCATCCTACAGCTCAGTGATACAAAATGGTTGCACCCTTATGTGTGTCATTGCGAACATAAATACTGGAAATTTGATGTCTTGCGAACAAATTTTAACATTAAAGTGAAAGAGGATGCAAAATTATTTAAGATAATCAGCATAAAAATAGTTTAAAAAATTGCTACCTCAATATTATGTTTATAGTAACTGATGTCACTAGCTTGTGTTACAGCTCTACTTACTGGGTAAAATTGTTTTGTAGCGATTCTTTCTCACCAGCCCTGGGTAATTGTACTCCTTAGGGTCCACAAAGTTCATGGGAGTTTCCTGCCAATGGACACAGAACAATGAAGGCAACTGAAAGTGAAGAAATGGGGAAGTCCAAAAGTCACCTTCTACATAACAACCAAGCGGTGAGGAAATAATATTAAACACGTGAAGTCATTCACAGCCTCTCACACTCAACCATTGCTGTATTAGTGTGTGTGTGTGATCCTGAACGCGCATCCTTCTTCCTAACAGACACAAGAATTTTCTGTGGGTTTTTGTATGCAAAAAGAAAAAAAATGCTTGCATCCCTCCATCTTCCGCCCACTAACAGAAAGTAGAAAAGCTTACGGGCGTGTGCAGAGCACCGATCGGTGTGTGTGGCTGCATCTGTGTGTGCGTGTACGTCTTTTCCGGCGAGTCTCTGTTCATTTCATATTAATCTCGAGAACGTAGGTGGCTGAGCTACTGTTGCTGCACTCACATAAAACTCAGCCTGCAGGCTCTGGTCGTCCATGGCCCTTGTGTGTAGCATGGCAGGGGTCAGGACGTGCGTTCCCTGTCGGAGATACTCCTGGGCCGACTGGTCTCTTGGAGAGAGTTGGGCTCCGTAGCCATAGGGCTCTGTGCAGCCTGGTGTGCACATGTCCAAGGTCAGGGAAACATTGGAGCCTCTCCTGTTTTATTCAGACAGTCAGACAAATGCATATATCTGCATTACAAATGAATGAATAAAGTGTGAGTCTCCCTGCTGGAAGAAAAACAAACATAAATACAAACATTTCCACCTGCTGGATGCTCTTTTCTAACCTCTCCTGAAGCCCCACTGGTGTGACAGTAAGGGTGGCAGCATCTCCCTCCGTCCTGGTATCTGCACCTATATCAAATACTGGAGTCTGGGGCACCGGGTCCAGGTCTATCAGATCCTCCTGGGCATCTGTCCACTCTGACAAGGTGAAAGAGGGCTGACGGCTCACAGACTGACGTCGATCACCAATGTCCCTCGACACAGTTCCTGATGACCACAAGCCAGAGCCATAATTCCACTTGCACACCAGGTGGATGATCTAAGGATAGAAAAGAAGACAAAAAAGAAGCAGTCAATAAGTAAATCAATCAAACACACAACAACAGGTCGCTACGTTAAGAAACAACCGATTCAATCGATCTTGTTTCCTTTTAAGATTATTTTCCATCTTTATAGCAAATAACACCAATTCAGCATGCATCGTGCATTAAATTCATGCTGAAATGACCAAAATTGTGAAATGTTTGCATAAAAATAGAGCTTAAAATAAAGGATCCAGCCAGTGTTTTACCATGACTACACAGATGGCCACGCCGATGCCTGCAGTGCCATGAACAATCCAATTGTGCTCTGTGGTGTTTACCACATCCCTCATCACCACTGACTGGCCAATAAAGGGAAACACAGAGAGAGAATGAGTTAGTCAGACATAGTTGAGTGCTTCACATCCTGTTAAACAGCTGTTTATTCTCCACCCAGACTTAAAAGCTGTCAGCCACATCTAGGATTGATGCTTACATCCGTTCCAAAAATAGGGTGGCAGGGTAAGATGAACCCCAGGTAGAAGTCAATGACCTGCAGGGCTTTGTAGATGGAAGAGAGTGGCCCATTTCCATCCACCACAAAAAATATCCAGTACCCCTGGGGGGAGAGAAGAAGGAAGGCAGATTGTCACCGCTCCAGTCATTCATGCACTGGAAATCGGACTGCAGCCATTCTCAGGTGAAAAGCGAGCAGAAAAGGAAAGAAGATGGACCATTACACAGACATAAAAAATATGTAAATTGTCCACATAGAGTCTAGTGTCGTAATAGTGGCTGCATTTACGAGGCTCTTTTATTTACTTATGGTAATGTTGCACCTGTCCTTTTTTCTGTTTAAATGAATCAAACATGAAGTCAACAATAGACGGAAACAGGAAGAGGGAATTAATGGTGAAGAGGTGTCAAATTTTAGCCTCATCTAGCCACCCCCAGAAAAAGTAGTTTCCAAGCCTGAAGCACTTGAAGCAAATATGAAAATGCAATCATACATATGAAAAGATAAACCACTGTGGAAAATTAAAGGTCAAGCTGAAAGAAAACCTCAAGCTTAAGTGTTGACGTGTCATTTGCAAGGCGGATATTGCAGCTGAAACCCAAAGACGACCTAAGAACTTACTCTGATTAAAAGCAGATAATAGAGAGCCTGGAACACATACCAAGATTTGGGAAGTGATAAACAGTGCTGCCCAGCAGTGGAGTTCAATCACCAGTGTGTACACCTTGCGTAAAAACACTTCCTCTTGGGGGTTTTGGCCCTCAGCGGTTCCATCTTTACATTCTAGGAGCCCGTCTTTTTTAAGGGCTCCGTCGCCAATTTTTTCAGTCTTTGTGGGCTCGTCTAGCCAAACGGGATCCTCATCAGGCCTCAGGAAGATGGAGTCCTCGGTGTGGGAACGAGTGGAGCTACTCAGCCGACGGGTCATGATGCCCCTGTTGAACGAGGTGCCTTTGTGTTAAAAGGCCTTTCATATGTTATAAATCAGATTTTAAATGCATTTAGTTTACACGTGTTTATCATTAGGTGTTCGGTTTTATGTGTGCCATTATCTGAAAATCATCCCATCAAATACAAACTCCAGTTTTTAACCCTTTAAAAATGTAGACAAATGGCAACACATTTACTTATACTTTGGAGATCTTTGATAGGATCCTAGACTCTGAAACACCTACAGTACCTGGTGTTTGAAACATACAGATGTTAACATGCAGGTGTTCTTCTGTACTTACAACTTATTTGCGATTTTTCTGCTTTTGTGTACAATAAAATGTCGAGGCCATAATTTTCAGCCACACTGGGACTACATGCTGATTTTCATTTCAAGTATGTGCTATCTGTGTTTGTCACATTGCGTGTGTCTAATGTGTGGTTCTAAATGAGCGTGTATATGACAAAAAGGTTGCGTTTATTCTGCAGGTCTATTCAAATGTACAGCTAAGCAGCACAGAGTGGCTCTCATCTCCGGATCCTCTTGTCTCCCTTAGATTGGACTCCATCGTGTGTGTGTGTGTGTGTGTGTGTGTGTGTGTGTGTGTGTGTGTGTGTGTGTGTGTGTGTGCGTGTGTGTGTGTGAATTTGACAGAGAGAGAGAGAGAGAGGCTCCATTGTGGAAAAATGAGTCAGGGGTAGCGTGTTTACAGCCCTGTCCTCTCTCATCCGTCCTGAGCATTATCATCTACTGACAACACAGTCACACACACACAGTCAGCAGTGTATTCAAAGCTCTTTTCCGCATATATATATATATATGTATATCAGAGTCAAATATAAGCAGGGTAAATACAAAATGCAGTTTTTAAATGATGATTTCATTGATTAAGGGAGAAAAGTTATCCAAGCCTACCTGGTCCTGTGTAACACAGTGATTGCCCCTCCTGTTTAATCATGAATTAACTGTAATTAACCACATTGTTTTGAAAGCTAAGTTCAGTTTCACTAAACATACTCAGGCCTGATTACTGGCAGATCTGATGAATCAAGAAATCCCTTAAAGAGCCTGCTTCAGCAAGATAAAAGATCTCAAAAAGCAACACATTGTGCCACGATCTGAACACAAAGACAATGCGTTGTGTGTTTTCTAACATCAAAGGTCAATAAAGTCAAATGACTGACTGACCTATGAGAGATGGCAACGAACTGGCAGGGGAGTCACATCACATGATCAAGGTAAAACCTGTATCCTGGGGCATCCGGTCACAGTCAGCCATTGTGAGGCAGAGTCAATTCTAAAAGACACAAGACAGTAGCTCAGGGCTTACATTCAAAGGTTAGCAAAATGATAAAGCTGTTGCAGATGTACTAAACATGCAAATCTCTCCAACCTCTGGAGCAGAAAAAAACAACAAACAAACAAGTAAGAAAGTGTCTCTTCCTCAAATAGCCAGGGATAATACAAAATAATACAAAACTGGTGCAAAAAATTCAGTTTTATGAGTCACCTGCATGGTTATACATGGTTCACGGTGTGACCATTTTAAACGATCACTTGATAATATGATATGTTAACACTACCACTTAAGCAGTGAACCTTTCGGACTATTGTTAATACAATTAAATCGCAGAAGTTTGCGCCATTTATCTGAGTCTGTGTGGTGTGAGCCCTATACCTCCTAGATGCAAGTTTGGGCATCAAAATATCAGTTTACGAACCAATGAGCGATGACACGGTGGATACATCCATTAGTTTAAAGTCTATGATAGACAGTAGAGTGACAAATCCAACTGGTAACATTGATAGACACTGAGAGAGGGTTAATAATTCAGCTTTCTCTAATGATGGATCAGAGTAGCACCCTTGTAGACTCCCAGCTGTGCGCTCATGAGGGGAGGATAGTGATGTAAGGTGACACAGTAAACTGTCAATATTTCTTCCCCACTCTTTCTTTCCCTGCCTCTCTCTGCATCCCGAAGAGGCAGGGATGATTCAAGCCAGACTAAGCAGACACCCTCAGAAATACATTCAGATTGCTCCAGTCGAATCAGTATGCATGATGAAGTCGAGCCTTCTCTGCCCTCCTCTCCTCTCTACCATCTCCCCCTCTCTCCTTATGTGCCACTGGACCCTGTTGAACGAATGGGGTGTGCTCAGCGGAATATGAGACCACACCAGTAGCAGGAGCTTAGTGTGTGTGTGTGTTCACTTTGAGTCCGTTTCTTTCTCTTTGCTTGCTGTGAAGGTGGTTTTGAAGTGATGACGCCAGTTAGACCGGCTTGTAGCCATGGCAATGTGCATACATGCAACGTACACACGTATGTTAAGTACACACACACACACACACACACACACAGGCATGGATTGTGTTGTATAAGAGCGCTTCAATGTGTTCCATTTTTCAACAATAGGTGGACAGGTAGAAGAGTGGATGAAGGGATGAATGGAAGGAAGAGCAACTCTTTTTTGTGTGTGAAGGTTGTCTGAAGCAATGACGCAGTGAGGTTGGCGTTTTGGTAACTGTGGCAACCAGCATACTGTAGCGTGTGTGTGTGTGTGCGCGCACATATACACAGACTTTTGTCAGATACCCCGCATGAAAAATGAAAAACACAAACACACATCTGCACTGGGAGAGCAGTGACAACATTCACGTTTGCCCTAAGAAAAAAAAAAATCGGCCTCTCTTTGCTTTTATTCTTTGAGGTAAATATTTCTGTTTTTCTGCTACTTGCTTTGTCTCAGCGCTTGTTTGGCAAACTGTCTGATATATTTAACCCAAGCAGTCGCTGGGATCTCAGAAATCCTGAGGTCACGAGTCCTCTTCTCCTACTCATTCATTACTCATTACTCCAACATTAGTGAATTGTACACGCTAAATACATCAGAAGTTTCTCATTACTTCCAGATTATTGTACAATTTCTGTTCCTTCCCTTTTTAATGTTTCTAACGTTGCAGAAAAAGACATGAATTTAAATATTGATGTTTGCGTAGTCTGCAGATGAGAATTAAAATACTCGCTGCAACTCCGGATTCTGTTAAACTGATGAATAAAAAATATATATCTGGTCAGCTATATTATATTGCATTCTGTTTCCAAACATGTTGCATGTACATGTAAAGGTATATTTAATTACAGTTCTGAAGATAGAATTTATTCATAATAGAATAAAAAAAATCTGAAAGTTTATGATAAGCTTTTCATTTACACTATAATCATTTAACACAAACAAAAACATCAACCCAGAGCAATTTACTGTTCCCATTCCAGCTGTTTTGTGCATGATTTTATCTGCATTTCACAGTCATATCTGGTATGTTTGCAAATTTCTCGAAAAGAAAGCTTTGTTTCAACTGATGTATGATGCTTCTATAGAATATATTAACACAGATAGTTCAGGAGCTTACAATAAAAAAATTAAAGATTTTATTACAAATCCAAAAAGATCAGAATCATTTAGCTGAGGATTGAGCTCAGGCCGAGTGAATTGAAAGCAAATAGGTCAAACCTGATGACGGATTGAGCCTCATTCCTCATTGAAGGTGTACTGTCCTTGGGTATTACAAACACCACCCCCCCAGTCTTCAAATAGAGTATGCGCATACTGTTTCCATTGATCTGCATCCATTCAAGAACCCACCATCCAATGGAGTCTAAAAGTGGGCCGTACAAAATGCCTATTGCCTCTGTCCCAGAAGGGCTCGAGGACCAGAAATGAGAAGGGGGCTGCCAGCTGTGTATAGCTTTTTCCTACTGTCGGGAACAGGGGGAATTAAAGTGGTGACAGCTGGCGTGCGCTTTAATGGATATTCCTGATGCTCCCATCGTCTCTGTGTGGAAAAACAATAAGTCCAAATCTGCTTCTTTAGTCTGTTATTTAAAAAACAACCTGTTTCCAGGAGAATCAAAGTGAATAAAGGGCGAGTATCAAGTGTGTTGCTGAAGTGCTCATATGGCAGAGAGACGAGGTAAGAGGAAGCTCTTACTGAAAGTGATGATGAGATGGAAACATGAGATAAAGTCACGAGGGCCAAGACCAGCCTCATCAACCTTTATCTCCCATACACACACAGAAAATCTTGATATTAATACACACATAAGCCAGCAATGACCTTAAAATGAAATGCCCAGCAAACCTGCAGCCTTTTCTTGTATATCACAAAGACAGATAATCAATCAGCTCTATTGTTTACATACACTCCCAGGATCGCTCGCAGCTGCTCCATGGGTATTTTTGGAGAGAAATCTCATTAAGGCACATATAAACTTACAATTCAGCCAAAGCTGTACTGTATGAATAATTAAAATGTGCTGCATAGCAAATTGATTTACAGGCTGCTGGAGATAAATCTGGATTCTTGGTGACAAAAGATTGTGTTACATGATTGCACTGCATCAAAACACCAGTGCAGGAATGGCATTCTCTGGCAGTCATTCATACTAAGACAAAACACCATTCATATCACGTACATGGCTACGGTGAGCTAGAGCGACCACACAGTGCAGAGCTGGATGGATTAGTAATGAATCACTCGGGGAGGTGGACTGTTGCATCTCTCTCTGGTAACTCCCACATTGTCACATAGACATGATACAACACAGAGGAAATCAAGCTTTGAGTGATAAACGAGAAGGAAAATACACAGTTAAAAGCGCCATCGACGGACCAACCTGTTGGCAAATGATCAGTTTCAATGATCTAAGAATAAACACGCACATATACACCTCCTACATCACACATCTCCTACCTTTTTACAGCACAGGAAAGCGCAGCGGCCATGTAAACCGTAGGGGCTTTGCTGAGGAATTGGTATTCACCTCATGTCATACAGCCACGCAGGGGGAAAGAGCGAGAGACAGCGAAGAGGCGAGGAGGGCTGGAACGGTCACAGTCACTCAACCACAGCCTTAAGTCTGGTTAGGATAAGTCCTCTTACCTGGCTGAGCCCGTCTTCACATCGCCATCTGCTGCTCTGCTCCCTGTGAGCCAAACCACCAGGAGCCAAACACCAAGAACCACGCCAATCCCTTTACTGCTTCTCTGTCTGGGAGATGGAGGAGTGTGTTTGCATGTAAGAAGGAGACAGACCGACAGTGAGAGACACAGAGAGTAAGAGGACGCGTGTGAGCCTAGGAAAACAAGAAATTGCAAATGTAAGGGGTGTGTGTGTTTGTGTGTCCGTGAGAGAAAGAGAGACAGAGGTATGAAAGTCTGATGGGTTTTCTTTTGTTTGTATCCTGAAGGAGAGAGAGAGAGATCCACAGGCGGCAGCTTCGTCTAGGTATATGCAGCAAGAGGCTGTACGGTAGCCTTGGCAACAGAGCCAGAATAGGGGAGAGCGAGCGAGGGAGGGAGCTAAGGAGAGAGCTAGAGCAAAAGAGAGAGAGAGAGAGAGTGTTTATTAATCTTATTGTGGGGACATAAATCTGTTAATACAGTTATATCAGGGGGGCTCACCTCTAAAGGAAGGTTTCAACAAGGTAAACCATTAAGTTTTAGTGGTGAAGGATAAGCCTGGATATATTACATATATTTTAATTATAGTTGGCAAACCCCACTAAAAATGCCAAAACCTGAAGCAAATGCATGCTGCCAACAGACTCTAGGCTTTGATTATAGCTCAAAAAAGGTAAAAAATAAATAAATAAATAAATAAATAAAACACAGGCATTGTTGAGCCACATTGCTTCTTCAGTGTTACAATGAAAAGGGTCACTGGATCTGTCATTTAGCCACCTTACTTAAAAAAAACAGTTGATAATCTGCAGCTGAAAATACATCAAATTTATCTAACACCAGAAACATACCAACAAACACGAGCTGTTTCTTTGAGAAAATACATTTGCGACCAATTTGTCTCTGAAGATTTGCATCGTCTTTGCTACTGAAGGGTGATTGGGGTTTATTGCAACAGACAGGCTGGAGGACATCATGAAGCTCGAGGAGATAAATGCTTTGCTGAATCTGTTTATAATAACGACAATAATGAAAAAAAACTCTCCAGGAAACAATAAAAGAAGAAATCAACATCTTCTTAAGTGACAAAAGACGTGTGTCTCTGTGTGTGTAGTGGGGGAAGTCGGCTCATAACACATCACTGAGCAGCGAACACCCCCCACTGTCACCTCCTCTGCTTCCAAGCTGTACGCTCTGCCACCCACCATCTCTCACTCATCTCAGTCACCACCCCCCAACCACCCCCCACCCCATCATCATCATCACCATCGCCCAGGTCTATTCTCCTTTTCCGGTCTCCATCATTCTCTGTCTTCTTAAACCTCTTGTCATTTCCCATCCCTCCTTCTTCAATGTGATGTGCTCTCTCTCTCTCTC